ATATATATATATATATATATATATATATATATATATATATATATATATATATATATATATATATTGTTCACATTTTAAGATTAGAAGACTGAAGGGTAAGAGATCTCTCAGTATTTCTCACTACTTTACGAAAATTAACCCAGAAAAAGCCAAAGCATTTAGTTTATTTATTTAGTTTAAAAGCATTTTGGCGTCCCAGCTTTATATTCATAGACCTCTATTAAAAGGTGGATCCCTGTAAATAAATACGACATTGTATTGTCCCTGTTTTCTTCCATATGCTTCATGTTCTATTATTTCCTATTTGACACTTACCCTCTAGGTGGACAGGTTAACCAAGTGGTAAGATCGCACCTAATGGCATGTTTTGTTTCTAGATGCGTCAAAAAGGAAACGTACGAGGCACAACAGCATCTGAAGAGTAGCCGAATCCTTTTTAGTAACCAGAGGCAGGTGATGAGATTGTGTAAGTGGTGCAGGGGGAAAGAAGTGTGTCCCGTCACACATTCATTTCTCACGTTCCTTTCATCTGCCGCCGCCGACTAACCCATCGCTTTCTCTGCCATCATTTCAGCTAACCACAACTAACTCTTCTTCTTCTTGTGTTCTCCTTAAACTGACGTGTGGACGAATGTAACCCGAGTAAAAGTGTTAGTCATTTCAGACAAACTCTTGGCTGAACCGCCCAATTGCGTTCGCTCAGGCCAGAGGAAAATAGTGCCTCAACGGCTCAAATTAAAAGCAGGTGTATGCAGCTCCTTGAAAAAAACTCCTCTGCAAGTTATAATGGTTTTAGACTCCAGTTGAAAGGTAGAGGTTTTTTTTTTTTCTGAGGCGTTCTTGATGTTTGAAGCAAGTTTGGTGGCCAATTTTTGTAGCTTCCAAACGCTGCGTTTTTCTGTTGAGTTCTTGATCTTCTCTCTAAATGGACACAGGCTGCAATGTTTATGAAATGGCCATCTTTTTTTTTCAGTTTTCTGTGTACAACAAAATGCAGTAATTTACTTGCCATTGTGTTTTTCCAAACACCTATAATTTGCTTTCTTTCATGGAGGTTTTTTTGAAGCATCTCCATACTCATTTTCTATATGGTGCACACAAACTAAGAGTGACCACTTACTATCGAGGTTTTCCCAAAAAAACAAAAAACAAAAAACTTGTATTTACTATTTACAAACTTTATTATTATTTATTTATTGACTCTATTTATTAACTTTAGTTATGTATTTAAAGGGGACCTATTGTTCTGAATAGGGAAGAGCCGTATTCCATTAGAGTTTTGAATCATCCACCATGGTGAGTGTTTATTGCTCCACCTCTTTTGAAATGAGGGCTGAGAGTACAATCTCATTTGAATTTAAAGCGACAGTCACCAAAATGGCACAGTTTGGATCAAAGTCTAAAAGGGCTGGGTTCAGAGAGTTATAAAAAATGTTTGTGGCTTATTTTTGCACTGAAACTTTACATGCACATTTTTTAGGCTGTGTGAACTGGAAGTTTATTTAGATGGCTGTTTCTCAATACAAGGTACACAAAGTTCGGACTTGTGTTTTTGGAAGTTCAGACTTTCCAAGTTCAGAATTAGAAAAACAAACTTCCGAACACCCATATCGCAATGCTACGAGAGTGATATTGCATTTATACGACAGTTCGATGGCATAATTGTGTATGTAATAAAGAAAATCAAACACGAGTCAGTGCTGATCTTCTTATGCGTTCTCAAATTGCTGAAGTGCGATTTAGTGCGTTTATGTAACGAGTATGTCTCCAGCATTTATTAGATTTGCTAGGAATATTTATAATGTCTCCGGTATGAATGCGTCCTGAAGTGAAACGGCTATACGTCATGTTTGCTGGCCTCTCACATCACGCATCTGTCAGTCATCCAGTCAGTCAGTAAGTAACCTTAAAGGGTAAACAAATAAGGCACAGCACTACTACGGTTAGAGAAAAGTTTGCGCTGTTATAATTCACTTACCTTTTAATATGTTTTGGTGCGATTTATTACCCGCTATTAAAAATAAAATGTTTTGAATGAGAGTAATGTAGCCGTGGCGGGATGAATCTTGGTGTGGCGCCCCTCAATGAAAGAATAAATGTAGCGGAAACCATGCAAGTCTCAACAACCCTTTTGTATAAGGAACTACTTCCACCATTTGTTCACATCTACAGCTGACAGTCAAAACGGCAGAAACCATAGTTACTTTACCAACGTAATAGTACTAGAACTAGTGTTCGAATTATGTCTACGTGATGACAAAACAGATGACTTTGCTCACATTTTAAGATTAGAAGACTGAACGGCATGAGATCTCCCAGTATTTTTCACTATTTCACAAAAATGTACCCAGAAAAAGCCAAAGCAAGGCAAACATTACTAGATTACGATGGTATAAATACAACAATATAAAATACAAAGGAAAAAGTTTGACATAGAATGTAACTTAACTGTTTTATAATGATTTGTTCAGCTTTAGTTTTAAATTCACAGAGTATGCGAGGACACAAGTCAGGTACTACTTTAAATGGAATGGCAGTGTACTTTATAACATCACTTATCTCACCATGGATTCATTGGTTTTACTGTACATTAACAATAAAATGATTCAATTGTATAAAGTATGGCCTTATATTTAAAACTATATTAATATTGTGAATAAATATTTTTGATTTAAGAAAATATAAACAGGTTATTATACACAGACTCCTGCATAATAAATTACAATGGACATTATACAAGTATGCAGTAAAACAATAGGTCACATACTGTACACTGTCACAGTGTCACATACTGTATTCATAAGGTGTAATTCACCCAGAAATGTCATATCTGTCTTCATGTAATGATGTATTTGCGGCTACGAGCTGACCACGAGCTGTTTGTTTACTGCCGAGAATGCTTACGCACGCCAGTGACGGCTACTTTAGTTAACACAACCTGCATAGGCTGTGAATAACAGGTAATAAAGTTGTAAATAACGTTCAGTTTGTTGCACAGAGCAATTGTTTGAGAGCTGCGCTTAAAGAATGATTTGCATATGTGTGTTTTTATCACAATGATGGCAGCCGTGAGCCGCACTCGGAAGTGAAAATGAAACTGGCCGCACATCATTTAAATGATCGTTTCGCATTTTACAGTTACGATTACAAGCGTTTGATATGTTTTGTCTTTCATAGCTAACACACAGTGTTGTGCATGAAAATAAATGTTTAACTGTCAGTATAACTACTGTAGACTACAGTATATAATGTTGAATATAATGCAAGAGGAAATCTGATCATGACAAATGTCTGATTTTACCAGGGAAAACAAATGGTCTAATAATGTTGTCAATGACAAATGACAAGCACATGTCTCAAACATAATAATTCAACTTAATAATTATGAATAGTTGTATTTAGATGTCATCATTTTACTGTGAATTAACAAACAGGACATATTGAAAGTCTGTTCAAGTCCACCATAACGACTGTACAAAATGTAGCGTTTTAAGCAATGGTAGACCTACACATAGGCTTGACATTGTTGTTGCACCATTTGAGAATTAATAATATTAATAGCCTACTCGTATTAACCTTTATTTAACATCTAAAGAATCGTGAGAAAATCGTGATCTTGATTTTAAGCCAAAAGAAATTCATGATTCATATTTTAGCCACAATCGTGCAGCCCTTGTCATATTGATGAGTTCCTATTTGAATATTCTTTCATTTTGTTGAAACAAGAAGCCTCAATGTTTTGTTAACTTTTTGTAGGGAAACGACAGAAGGGTAAATGAAAACAAAGCTTTTGATTTCATGTGAACTATTCCTTTATTTTGCTTTTGGTCATATGTGTTGAACATCTTGAGTCGCGTGTTGATCTAGCAGAATTTCTGTAAGGCATTTATGAAGTTCATTTTATAGACTTTTTCTTCTCGAGAGAAATTCAGCGCCTGTCGAGAGTCAGAACGGAGAACAGCCGCTTCATATTTGTGTTTTTTTCCCTCCCTCTGTGTTTGGCTCTGCTGTAAAACGATCTGGAAGAGATGAGACTCTCCTCAGCCGCTCTTTCCAAGCGTCTCTGCCCGATTATGTTTTTTTTTCTCTCTCTTTCTCATTTCTCTTCATTGCTTCTTCCATGCACTGTGTTCTTGGTTTCTAATCACCGCTTTTGTGTTTGTTGATTTTTCCACAAGTGTGTTCGCACTCCGCACATGTGAGCATGTTTCTGCTCTCTTTGATTTGAGTGAGCGTGCGTTCAAACACGTGTGAGTGTGGACAAAAAAAATCACCTACAATGAATTGAATTCACATGGTATACTAACCTGGTGCAATTTTGGTAACAATGTAACAAGTTCACGGCTGTGCAGAACTTTGGCGTTTTCTAAGGCATTATTAACTAATTGCATGTCCTAAATGTTTCTACTTTTATGTCTGTCATTTCATTTAAATTGTTTATATGTACTCAAGGTACCGACAGGGTCATGGAATTTTTGAAATATCATGGACTTTGAAATAGTGTTTTCCAGACATTGGAAATCAGGAAGTTTACACTACCTGACAAAAGTCTTATCGTTGATCCCAGTTGTAAGAGTAACAAATAATGACTAGTTGATTGTTTGGAAAATTGGCAGAAGGTAGATTTTTCCCATGAATCATCTGTTGAGCTGCATCCCAATCATCACCAATACTGCAGAAGACCTGTTAGAACCCACATAAACCCAAGATTTCTTCAGAAATCAGTCAAGTTTGGTGAAGGAAAAATCATGGTTTGGGGTTACATTCATATTGGGGCGTGCGAGAGATCTGCAGAATGGATGATGGCAACATCAACAGCCTGAGGTATCAAGACATTTGTGCTGCCCATTACATTACAAACCACAAGAGAGGGTAAATTCTTCAGCAGGATAGTGCTCCTCATACTTCAGCCTCCACATCAAAGTTCCTGAAAGCAAAGAAGGTCAAGCTGCTCTAGGGTTGGCCCGCCTAGTCATCAGAGAGTCAGAAACAATATTCATTCATTTTCCACTGCAGCATGAATTTATATTCTATACTGGACAGTATTTCTGTTAAGTGACAAGACTTTTGTCTATAAGCAAGGTCTTACATTTTGGTCCTACTTAAAAATTTAAAATGAAGGCATGATCATATTTTATTGTGGTAAAATAAGCGTAATTAAGAGGCTTTTGCCGTTCATATAAGCCACTTCTGATACCAAATGATCTACTAGAAGTCAAGTTATTTGTTGTTCCCAAAACTTGCCAACAAGACTTTTGTCAGGTACTGTATATAATTGTAAAAAAAAAAAAATATATATATATATATATATATATATATATATATATATAAATAAATAAATATATTTATTGTCCAAGGCATGCAAAATTAGAGATTTGCTTGTCATTTAAAATTTTACCTCTCATTTATCAGAGCATTATGAAATGCCTAATTAGTAGCAATTGAATAATTTGTTGATTTATTTATTTTTAGGTTGAACTCGAGCATGTATAAAAATGTTTTTGAATATGTTTTTTAATGGTTGCTGTTTTCATTCTTGTAGCTTCGTAAAACTGGTCAGGTTCGAGGCACCAGTGCTGCTCACGAACAATGAGGCAAAACTTCAAGAAATCTTCTACGATGACGAAAGACATCAAGACCGCATCCAACCAAACCAGCCAGCGGCAACGCCGTCCTCCACCAGACTTCAGAATGACACAACGATCAGTAGTACTGTAAAACAGGTGGACACACTTTTTCACTGGACTAGACTTGACCTGTTTTCTAGATTCAGGCCGAGTGTCCCAGTGACTGTTAACACTTTAAGACTTTTAGAAATGTCAGATTATTGCTGTTTGGTTGTGTTATTCCATCTCAGAAAAAAAAAAAAATTTTAATTTTGGCAGGCATCGGACCAATTGTTTGTTTCTGTTTGGTTTTTATCTGTTTGTAACGGTTCACGTCTTTTCTTTTCTGTTTTTAATTTCCCCCCTGATAAAGCACTTCTTTTTGGTTTCTTTGAAATTTTAAATCACGGTTAAGAGGGTTTTTATTTCTGTAGTTGGCGTTATCAGTTTAGTCCTGCCTATCATGTCTTGTTTTTGTAGGAAAAGGTGCAACGCTACTGCACAGCATGCACATGTGTGCACACAAACACACATCCACCTCGCAGAATACTTTTCAAAGCAAGTGGCTTTTGCATGAGCTCAGGCATGTTCTTATTAGCGGCTGTTTTTTGGAGGGTCTCCGAGACCCTTCAACTGAAGCAACCCCTCAGGACTCACCCAAAATCCAGACTAATTACTAGAGCAAATCTATGCTGCTGCTGCTTTTTTACTTTCAGAGTTGCTTTTAGGCCCGGCCAAGTGCTTTTATATCGCTAATCTACCTGTAATTCTCTCAGGGTTCCCACAGTCACAGCAAACACCTGGAGATATCAGGGAAAAGTTGTGATTTCCAGGCCTGCTTCATTACACTTAGTATTTAATTTAGCCCCTTGTTGTTTTTAAAGCAAGAATCGCTGTTAAAGTACATATTAGGTTAGGTTGAGCTTAGGTTTTTGTCATTTTTTTGAGGTGTAACTACTTTTCCAGTTGGTTGAATCTCTGGTAACTGACATAACCACATGTGAACGGCGCTTAACTGATCCCCTTTTTGGTTTCCTTGTGCATATTATGCAAATGATACTGGCGTTGTCATGGCGACAAATTTATTCGGTGTCTCTAAACAGGCACAGTCGGTAAGATTCTGTCGCACAAGTCTCATGTTTGTGGCTGTAGTTTTTTATTATGTGCTCTTGAATCATTGAGTCACGCTGCATATTTGCAATATTATTCAAATCGAATACTGTAACTCTATTTTATTTATATTTTTGCTCTACTTTTTTTTTTTTTGGTAAAGCTAACTGGGGAAACTGAAAATTCTCTGTCACATAATGGCAGTAGAAATCATACTGAATCCAGAAACTTTTAATTCAATCAAAAAACTGAAGTTCTTTTAACATAATAGTTGAATGTTAATAAAATACAGCTTTCTTTGAGATCATGTGAGGACACATTTTGGTTCGTTTAGATTTTTAATGAGTAAATAAATGTTAAACATCAGCTCTGCGTATTGTTTTAATTCTTAGTTCACTATGTAATATAATGGTAAAGCAGAAACATAACCTTACTGTAAAGTGTTACCCATTGATTTATATTAAAAATATATATATATATATTTGTATAATGAATATCACTATGATTTTTTTTGGTCTAATTTGATCAAGTGTGGGAACCCTGACCTCTGCACCTGAACGTGTGCATAGACACCTCAAGTGATGCTTAGGACAGTTTAAAGAGCTTGATTTTTGTACTGTTTCTATATCGTACCAGGTCAGAGTTGCAGGACGAGGCTATTCCGTCCTGCTCTCTGGCTGTCCTGCACCAGCTCAGATACAATTCAGCCTAGCAAAAAGAGTCGCCTGACCTCCCCTGTGCAGGGCTGTTTTTTTTTCTTTATTTTTGTTCACAGTAACAGGTTTTTAACGTGTCTCATGTCTATGCTTCTCAGATCTCTGTCCCGCAATTTCAATTACATAAGCTGAGAGTATTGTCGGGTCTGATTTTTTTTTTTTTTTTTTGATCATACTTTGTGGCCAGTGCATTAGTATAATTCTAATACACTGTGAACGATATCTGTAAATTAGCAGTTTTAGCTATTTGTTTGATTACGGATTGCATTATGGGATCTTGATCTTTCTTCTTACAGCTCAGCAGTTCGAACTTTTATTAACATTTTTAATAGTTTAAAGTGATAGTCCAGGGGTGCATTTTCCCAAACAGCGACGTAACTCGCGGCTGAACTATCGTAGTTCGATGCATTGATTAGGAAAAGAACGATTTTTGTAACGAGTGTTTCCAAAAACATATAGTTTCTCTGTCGCAGATCCATCATTTAAACCACAACATTTATAATGTAAAACACCCATAATGATGCTTCAAATGGGGTGGTAACAGCTTCTTTAAAAAAAAAAAACCCATAATTTCTTTGTGCAAATGATACTGTTTTACACACACATGCATTTAAAAAAATCTATATTAGTTTCGGTGAAAACTTGCACTTGCTTTCTATATTAATTAAAATATATGTAAACAGCATGTACTGTATAGGGCAAGGGTGGGCAAACTCGGTCCTGGAGTACCGCTGTCCTGCATAGTTTAGCTCCAACACTAATCAAACACACCTGAACAAGCTCATCAGTGTCTTCAAGATCACTAGAAATCAATTAGCAGGTGTGTTTGATTAGTGTTGGAGTTAATCTGTGGAGGACACCGGCACTCCAGAACCAAGTTTGCCAACCCTTGGTATAGGGCCTGTGTTTCCTTTACAAATATTATTAAGAACATTACATATTTTATTGTGAAACATAAATCACTTACAAAAGCTAACACGTATTCTAACCTCATATATAAATCATATAAATGAATAATGAGGCTATATTTATTAAGAAATGAAATGACATTTTTTTTATTTATTAGGAAATGAATAAATCCTAGTTTAATAATAATATTAATGATGATTATTATTGTTGTTATTATTATTATTATTAGGCAGTATATATATATATATATATATATATATATATATATATATATATATATATATATATATATATATATATATATATATATATATATATATATATACACAGATAGAAAGCGATCGCGATCTTTCCACTATTAAAGTAGACATTATTTATCTTTGCTCAGATAGAATACAATCGCGATCTTTCCACTATTAAAGTAGACATTATTTATCTTTGCTCAGATAGAATACAATCGCGATCTTTCCACTAATAAAGTAGACATTATTTATCTTTGCTCAGATAGAATACAATCGCGATCTTTCCACTAATAAAGTAGACATTATTTATCTTTGCTCAGATAGAATACAATCGCGATCTTTCCACTATTAAAGTAGACATTATTTATCTTTGCTCAGATAGAATACAATCGCGATCTTTCCACTATTAAAGTAGACATTATTTATCTTTGCTCAGATAGAATACAATCGCGATCTTTCCACTATTAAAGTAGACATTATTTATCTTTGCTCCTTAACTAAATTTAGTCAAAAGTATACAAAGTTATCAAATATTTAGAAATAGATTGATACATGATCGATGACAATGCTAATGGTCTTCTTATTTGGCTGTGTTGTGAAGTGAAACGTACTTTTAGCAAAGGTGGAACATTTTTTATTCCTTTACGACAAAATAATTATGCTGGAAATGTTTCTGGATGAGGTATTTGTGTGATTTAT